CTCTTCGGCTTGGAAACGGAGATGAGCACCGCAACCCTAGAGGCGGATTCAACTGGCTTTCGAGGAAGGGAACCTTTTCCTGTACCTTTTTATGTGGAGGTTCCCCTCAGTCACCAAGGCTAATAGCCATTGATAGACTTATCCTCCATGATTCTATCTAATCCATCTATCTCCATTAATCTCTCTATTTTATGTAATTATGCAATTTATAGTCTGCCTTTCTCACTTGGGCTTAAGGTGGATTGCACTCCAACCCCACCACGACTCCTCCACGAATCCCCAAACCAATACATACTCACAGACTATCGAGCCCTAGGCAGTGTACAGGAAAAAGTAAAGGCATCTGCACGGAGGGAGATGGCTTACTCACCAGATCCCCGGGGTCACAGTGGTCGATGGGCTTGTGAGCCGTGTTGATGTCTCCCAGGATAACCACATGGCTGGAAGACAGATCAAGACAATGAACCTCAATGCATCCACCTGGACTGAATAAAGACCTAGGTCTCCTGTCTCATTACCAATGCTGACTCCTCCACACCTATTTCTCTGCATACCACACCTAATCCCCTCCAACTCTCTAAGTGATGCTACACTTTACCCTTAATATGCAATTTATTGACTCCTCCGATTTAAATCTGGGAGTGGGAGGGTGGCTGGGCAGAAGTCTCACCTGGCCCCGCCCACTTCCTAGAAACATTTTGCGGGCAGCAGGAAAGGTACTGGCGGGCAGCCTGTCGCCCACAGACACCAGCCAAAGTTCCCTCTAAGCTGTGGAGTCCTGTGAGCAAGTATTCTACTTTGTGAGCCACTGGCATTTATTTATTTATTTGGATTTATATCCCGCCCTCCCCGAAGGCTCAGGGCGGCTAACGGAGGCATAACACCAAGTAATAACAATAAAACGATAAAATACTGACTAAAATACGGAATAAACTATTAAATAGTTAAACAGAATTCATTAAAGATGTGAGTGAGCAATTTGGCTGCTGCATGAATGACGTTTGCTCTGGAGCCCTCCTCCCTGAGCTAAGACAAACATGTGTGAGCCGGAGGGTAAAAAACTGTGAGCTGGCTCACACCAACTCAGCTTAGAGGGAACACTGGACGCCACGTTGGGGACCTCTGCTGTATACCATCAGCAACCCTGATAACAACAGTCCTCTAAGGTAGGCCAGTATTATCCCCGCCGTACTGCAGATCAGGGAGGGGGGCCGAGGACTGCGGCTTGCCAAAGACAACCCACCAAGTCTGCACCTGACTCAACCGGAGATTTCTCAGTTCCGCACCTGCGGGAGGAGGGAGACATACCTGCCGGCTCTCAGGAGGGCCTCCGCCCGCGCTTGCAGGAGGCGGTAGAATCGCAGCTTGAAGTCCCCGCGTTCCGGTTTGTCAGGGTCGGCACGAGGGCAGTAGACGTTGATGAGCACCAGGGTGGTCTCCTGCCCTCCCAAGGTGCTGCAGTGAGGGGACAAGCGCATGGGCGAGACAAGAGTTTACCAACCAAGACTCCAACTCTCCTTCATACAATCTCCAGGGCGGAACAGCCCACGGGGAGATCAGAGCAAAGTATAGAGTAACCCGGGGGGGGGGGATAATGACCTTTCAACTAAAGATTAGGGAAACCAGAAATGTTCAGTCAAAGGCTACGACATCCCTGCACCAAGGCTGAAGATCCCTAAGAGTCTCCGCAGCCGGTCCCTGCAGCCTTCAGCTCCAGAAGAATATATGGTGGCAGTGGTAGAAACTGCCATCAAAACATCGCTGACTTACAATGACCCCATAGGGTTTTCAAGGCAAGAGCCAAGCAGAGGTGGTCTGCCATTGCCTGCCTCTGCGTAGCAACCCTGGACTTCCTCGGTGGTCTCCCATCCAAATACTAACCTCGGCCAACCCTGCTTAGCTTCCCAAATCTGATGAGATCGGGCTAGGCTGGGCCATCCAGGTGAGGAGACAAGGAGAGGTGGGTTTGCCACCGCCTGCCTCTGCATAGCAACCCTGGACGTCCTTGGTGGTCTTCCATCCAAATACTAGCCACAGTCAACCATGCTTAGCTTCCCAAATCTGATGAGATGGGGCCAGACTGGGCCATCCAGGTCAGGGCAAGAGACAAGCAGAGGTGGTCTGCCATTGCCTGCCTCTGCGTAGCAACCCTGGACTTCCTCGGTGGTCTCCCATCCAAATACTAACCTCGGCCGACCCTGCTTAGCTTCCCAAATCTGATGAGATCGGGCTAGCCTGGGCCATTCAAGTGAGAAGACAAGGAGAGGTGGTTTGCCACTGCCTGCCTCTGCATAGCAACCCTGGACTTCCTCGGGGGTCTCCCATACAAGTACTAGCCACAGTCAACCCTGCTTAGCTTCCCAAATCTGATAAGGTCAGGCTTGCCTGGGCCATCCAGGTCAGGGCAAGAGACAAACAGAGGTGGTTTTGCCATTGCCTGCCTCTGCGAAACAACCCTGGACTTCCTCGGAGGTCTCCCATCCAAGTACTAACCAGGGCCGACCCTGCTTAGCTTCCGAGATCTGATGTCAGAACCCACAGCCAACAACGGAGTACACACTTCTTGGAAAGGTTATACTTTTATGGAAGAGCCATAGATGCATTAACACAGTCACTGTTAAGAATAGCAGTTGTCTCTTGAACCTAATGAGATATAGGGCATTCGTATGCACACACACACTGCGCTGGCCAATTAGGTACCCTCCCCCGCGTGGGCGAAAGCCATCAAACTGTTACTATGCGAAGCTGGGAATGGTTCGGCTCCCACGGCTTGCCTGGAAGGCAGACAACACCCACCCCCGCCTGTACTTCTTTAGAGATAAGCATTTCAGCGCAAAGCAGAGAGAGGAATGCGAAAGCAATTTACGCAGACACTGAAAGAACATCCCAACCCCCATGGCAGCATAGCTGACATCTGATGAGACTGGGCTAGCCTAAAGCCACCCATTGAGTCCACGGCCACGGTGACATCTAAGCAAGGAAGCGATGTAATCACCACATGACGCCAGCTGCCAACCACCAACCAGTGTTAACAAGACGGGGGTTTTTTTTGCTAAGCGCTTCCCACCCCGTCCTCACCAAATACGGTGCCGGGTGACCACGGCTCGGCCCTCGCTGTCCAGTGCCTGCAACTCCTCGGGCGTGAAGTCGTCCGTGTCTCCATAGCAGCCAACCGCCCCGCCATGTTTGGTGAACAGCCCGGACAGACCCTCCTCTGCTGCCTCCGGGGTAGCCCCGGTTTTACAGAACGTTGCAACCCCTGGAGAAAAAGAGATGAAGCTGCTGGTTTTTAGCTGTGGAACAAGCATTGGGAGACATCATCCATTCCACCTAAAGCAGACAGGAGACGGAAAGAGTTGCCTCAGTTTTGAAGAGTTACTCTACCTGTACCCTTAAGGGCAGTCCGATAAGAACGTAAGAGAAGGCATGTTGGATCAAGCTGATGGTCCATCCAGTCCAACCCTCCGAGTCACACAGCAACCAAAAACCCAAGCGCCATCAGGAGGTCCACCAGCAGGGCGAGAACTCCAAAAGCCCTCCCACTGTTGCCCCCCCCAAAGCACCAAGAAGACAGAGCATCACTGCCCCAGACATAAGAACATCAGAGAAGCCATGTTGGATCAGGCCAGTGGCCCATCCGGTCCAATACTTCTGTGTCACACAGTGGCCAAAACCCAGGGGTCATCAGGAGATCCACCAGCGGGGCCAGAACTCCAGAAGCCCTCCCACTGTTGCCCCCCAAGCACCAAGAAGACAAAGCATCACTGTCCCTGATGCCTAATAGTTATTCATGGATCTCTGCTCTTAAGAATGTAAGAGAAGCCATGCTGGATCAGACCAGTGGCCCATCCAGTCCAACACTCTTATGTCACAGTGGCCAAAAATACCAGGTGCCATCAGGAGGTCCACCAGTGGGGCCAGGACACTAGAAGCCCTCCCACTGTTGCCCCCCCAAGCACCAAGATGACAGAGCATCACCTGCCCCAGACAGACTGTTCCATCTATACATTGTGGCTAACAGTCATTGATGGACCTCTGCTCCACATGTTTCTCCAATTCCCTCTTGAAGCTGCCTATGCTAGTAGCTGCCACCACCTCCTGCAGCAATGAATTCCACATGTTAATCACTCTATGGGTGAAGAAATACTTCCTTTTATCTGCTCTAAGCCTACCGCTCATTCATTTCATTGAGTGCTCACGAGTTCTTGCATTGTGAGAAAGGGAGAAAAGGACTTCTTTCTCTGCCTTCTCTATCCCATGCATAATTTTGTAAACCTCGATCATGTCACCCCTCAGTCCTCGTTTCTCCAAGCTAAAGAGCCCTGACTTCTTTAACCTTTCTTCATAGAGAAAGTGTTCCATCCCCTCCATCATTCTAGTTGCCCTTTTCTGCACTTTTTCCAATTCTAGAATGTCCTTTTTGAGGTGGGGTGACCAGAACTGCACACAGTATTCCAAATGAGGTCACACCATGGATTTATACAGGGGCATTAATGATACTGGCTGATTTGTTTTCAGTCCAACCCACAGCAAGAAGCTTAGGGGGCAGTGTCTTACAGCAGGGAGGAGGAGGAGGAGGAGAAAAGATTGGATTTATACCCCGCCCTTCACTCGGAGTGTCAGAGCGGCTTACGAACTCCAAAGGGATCTGTCAAGGATGGGCGAGTGGGCGTCAATGTGGCAAATGGGGTTCAATGTGGCCAAGTGTCAGGTGATGCACACTGGAGCCAAAAACCCTAACTATAAATACACGTTGATGGGGTCTGAACCGGCAGAGACTGACCAAGAGAGAGATCTTGGAGTCGTAGTAGATAACTCAATGAAAATTTCGAGACAGTGTGTGACTGCAATAAAAAAGGGCCAACGCTATGCTGGGGATTATTAGGAAGGGAATTGAAAACAAATCAGCCAGTATCATAATGCCCTTGTATAAATCGATGGTGTGGCCTCATTTGGAGTACTGTGTACAGTTCTGGTCACCACACCTCAAAAAGGATATTATAATATTGGGAAAAGTGCAGAAAAGGGCAACTCGAATGATAAAAGGGTTGGAGCACTTTCCCTATGAGGAAAGGTTAAAGTGCTTAGGGCTCTTTAGCTTGGAGAAACGACGACTGAGGGGTGACATGATTGAGGTTTATAAGATTATGCATGGGAAAGAGCAGGTAGAGAAAGAGGTACTTTTCTCCCTTTCTCACAATACAAGAACTTGTGGGCACTCCATGAAATTGCTGAGCGGTCGGGTTAGAACGGATAAAAGGAAGTACTTCTTCACCCAAAGAGTGATTAACACTTGGAATTCACTGCCACAGGAAGTGGTGGCGGCTACAAGCATGGACGGCTTCAAAAGGGAATTAGATAAGCATATGGAGCAGAGGTCCATCAGTGGCTATTAGCCACAAGGTATAGATAGGGACTCTGGGGCAAGTGATGCTCTGTCTTCTTGGTGCTTGGGGGGGTCAACAGCGGGAGGGCTCCTAGTGTCCTGGCCCCACTGCTGGACCTCCTGATGGCACCTGGTATTTTTGGCCACTGTGTGACAGAGTGTTGGAGTAGATGGGTCACTGGCCTGATCCAACATTGGCTTCTCTTATGTTCTTATGTTCTTTCCCTTCCCCTCCCCAGATAAGACACCCTGGGAGGTATGTGGGGCTGAGAGAGCTTTTTCAAGAGCTGCCCTTTCAAGGACAGCTCTTGTTAGAACTACGGCTTGCCCAAGGTCATCCAGCAGCTGCAAGTGTAGGAGTGGGGAATCAATCCCGGTTCTCCCAGATTAGAGTCCGCGCACTTAACCACTACACCAAACGTTGATCTCCTGCCCGCTTCTCCAGAACAAGCTGCTGGATAAGATAGAGCTACAGGGGTCAGTTGCGCCGTCGGCAGCAATGCAGAGCTGGTTTCCTTTGCCAGGTCCCCTTACCTGAGTAGCCACTGCGCTTACGGCTGAAGCTGAAATAGGAGCTGTAGCCCTCCACAATCGCCAACGGCTCCCCCAGCAGGTCCCCTGCAAAGAAAGCACAAATCATAACAAATGTTATGAGGGCTGGATCTGACATAAATGAGACCTTGTCGGGCCGGGCCATGTGTGTCATAAAATGTTAATGCCAGGTAGCGGAGATATAAACTTTATAAAGGACACAAACCCAAAGGTTTTTTTTTTTTACTTAAAACATGCTTAAAACATGAGTACACTTACAATACTTTGTTCATTTAACAGTGTCTGATAACTGACACCTCTTGCTCTGAATTATTGCATCAAAATGTCTGTGCTGTTTCAATCTTGAGTATGCTGTTCAGGTGTGAGCTGCAAACCTACGATGACGGAGCAGCAGCAGAACTGGAAGAAGAAGCAGAAGACAGCCAGTTCCACTGCGGGCCTGAAAGAAGCCCTCCGGGGGCCTCATCTGGCCCCTGGGCCACATGTTTGACACACCTGGTCCACGTGAAGGCTTCTGCCACTTCTGCTCTTTAAAACCAGGCCCCCAGCTCCTTAACCTGCCTCTCATACCCCAAAAGATCTGATACCCCCACAAATCTCGTTGGTGTCTTAAGGTCTCTCAATGCCTTTGGTTGAGGACAGCAGCCATTTCCATCACGGCTGGCCCCCTCTTTTCCTCCACCTTCTCGCTTCGACCTCCTCAGCGCCCTGCCCGCGAGACGGCAACACAGACCAGAGCAGGGTTTAGGACCAGTGTTCCCTCTAAGCTGAATTAGTGTGAGCTAGCTCAGTTTTTTAGCCTCCAGCTCACACATTTTTGCCTTAGCTCAGGAAGGATGGCTCAAGAGCCAACTAATTTATGCAGCAGCCAAATTACTCGCTCACAACTTTAATGCCAGCAGCTCACAAAGTAGAATTTTTGCTCACAGGACTCCACAGCTTAGAGGGAACATTGTTTAGGACCAAACCAATGACGCCATCTTGAGATTATTAATAATAATATAGGATTTTACTGATTTTAACCATGTCACGTTAATGTTTTTAACTTTGTTGAGCATCGCCTAGAGCCTTGCGAACTCAGGGATTGGGTGATTCACACATTTAACATATAAATAAACAAACAAATAAACAAAGTGCAACTAGACTTGAATCCAGCTCTTCTTCTGCAGACCAGGACAGCTACCCTCGGAAACAACCCGGAGAAAGAAAGGACCGACCCCTTTAATAGAGGCTTGAACGTGTGGAAACGGGTAGGTTATGATTTTCATAGGCATGGAGATACATCAGGCAAATGAGATCCCGGTAAGACTCAACTGAGGGGGCAAAGCATTTTTCCCCCCTCCAGGTTGTTGGCAGCCCTAAAAGGGACACTCACAACGGGAATCCCCCCTCTCACAACCAATGCTCCCTCTAAGCTGTGGGGGTCTTGTATGCAAAAATTCAACTTTGTGAGTTACTGGCACTAAAGTTGTGAGTGGGCGAAATTGCAAGTAGATAAAGAAGTACCGCTTCGGTGGGAAGGTAACAGCGTTCTGTGCGCCTCGGCGTCTAGTCATGCCGGCCACATGACCACTGAGAAGTCTTTGGACAGCGCTGGCTCTCCGGCTTGGAAACGGAGATGAGCACTGTATCCCTAGAGTTGGATTCGACTGGCTTTCGAGCAAGGGAAACCTTTACCTAAATCAGTTTGCTCTTGAGCCCTCCTTCTTGAGCCGAGACAAAAATGTGTAAACCGGAGGCTAAAAAAACTGTGAGCTAGCTCACACTAACTAAGCTTAGAGGGAACACTGTCCACAACCTGACACAGGCTATGGTTGCCAGCCTCCAGGTGGGACCTGGAGATTAGGTAAAGGTAAAGGTTCCCTTGCTCAAAAGCCTCTAGGGTTGCGGTGCTCATCTCCGTTTCAAAGCCGAAGAGCCAGCGCTGTCCGAAGACGTTTCCGTGGTCATGTGGCCGGCATGACTAAACACCAAGGCGCACGGAACGCTGTTCCCTTCCCACCGAAGTGGTACCTATTTATCTACTTGCACTTTCTTGCTTTCGAACTGCTAGGTTGGCAGGAGCTGGAACTAGAGACGGGAGCTCACTCCATCATGCGGCACCCGAGTCTCAAACTGCTGAACTACCGACCTTCCACAGCCTGCAGTTCAGCGTCTTAACCACTTGAGCCACCGCAGCTCCTACCTGGAGATTACCTGGGATTAAAATTTACCAGACAGAGACCAGTTCCCCTGTAAATCACAATCCCGGGGGAAATGTCTGGGCTGCCATCACACACACTAAATAACCCACTTTCTATGCGCTTTCCAATTGCAGCATAGACTGGCAAGAGATCCAATTGGAAAGGGTATGGGAAATGGCTTGAAAGTGTGTGTGATCACAGCCTAGGAGGATGGACTCTGCGATATTATATCCCGCCTGAGGTCCTTCCCCCTCCCCAGCCCCCAAATCTCCAGGAATCTCCCGGCCTGGAGTTGGCAACGCAAGAGCAGACGTTCCCCAATATTTTTTTCCCCCCGCCCGGCTTCTCCCTCTGCCCGCCGCCCTCCAGGACTCACGGGTGATCTTGGTCTCCTGCAAGCAGACCACGTCCGCGTCCAGCGCCGCCAGCAGCCGCTTCAGCCCCGCAGAGCCCGCCCCGGCCCGCAGCCCGTTCACGTTCCAGCTCACCAGCCTCATCCCCGCCAGGAGGGAAGACGCCGCAGGACGTCACTTCCGCCCGCCCAAACCCGCTCCCCACCAAGAGAGGCTGAACAACCGGGGTTCCACCCAGACCCGCACTTCGGGTTCCGATTGGACATCGCTATGCGAGGCGGAAGGAAAGAGGGGCAGCGTCGCCTATGAAATGGAAATAAAACGGAGTGGGCTCAGGCACGTTTTGCCTTGGCATGTTCTCCGTTCCCTTCCCCTCTTTATTTTGCGCTTGCGTCTTCATGGGCAATTAAAGTAGTACAGCTCTAGGGGCTGGGAACACCTTGCGTGGGGTTACCAGATTTCCATTTTGGGGGGTGTCTGTCCGTCCTCTTTGGGGCTCTTTAAAAAAAAACTATTCAAAGAGCCTCGACTGGGACTGAACAACAACAAGTGCCCACGGGTTCTTGTATTGTGAGAAAGGGAGAAAAGTACCTCTTTCTCTACCTGCTCTTTCCCATGCATAATCTTATAAACCTCGATCATGTCACCCCTCAGTCGTCTTTTCTCCAAGCTAAAGAGCCCTAAGCGCTTTAACCTTTCCTCATAGGGAAAGTGTTCCAACCCTTTTATCATTCGAGTTGCCCTTTTCTGCACTTTTTCCAAAGCTATAATATCCTTTTTAAGGTGTGGTGCCCAGAACTGCACACAGTATTCCAAATGAGGTCTCACCATTGATTTATATAGGGGCATTATTATATTGGCTGATCTGTTTTCAATACCCTTCCTAATAATCCCCAGCATAGCATTGGCCTTCTTTATTGCAGTCACACACTGTCTCGACATTTTCAGTGAGTTATCTACTACAACTCCAAGATCTCTCTCTTGATCTGTCTCTGCCAGTTCAGACCCCATCAACGTGTATTTATATTTAGGATTTTTGGCTCCAATGTGCATCACCTTGCACTTGGCCACATTGAACCCCATTTGCCATGTTGACGCCCACTCGCCCATCTTTGACAGATCCCTTTGGAGTGCCTCACAATCCTCACTGGTTTTCACCACCCTGAACAACTTTGTATCATCCGCAAATTTAGCCACTTCACTGCTTACTCCCAACTCCAAATCATTAATGAACAAGTTAAAAAGCAGTGGACCAAGTACTGATCCCTGTGGTACCCCACTGCTTACCCCCCTCCACTGGGAGAACTGCCCATTTATACTCACTCTCTGTTTTCTATTAATTAGCCAGTTTTTGATCCATAAAAGGACTTGTCCTTTTATCCCATGATTTTTGAGCTTGCTTAGGAGCCTTTGATGAGGAACTTTATCAAAAGCTTTCTGGAAGTCAAGGTAAACAATATCTATTGGATCCCCCTTGTCCACATGTTTGTTCACCCCCTCAAAGAACATTAACAGGTTAGTGAGACAAGATCTTCCCTTACAGAACCCATGCTGAGTCTGCCTCAATAGGTTTTGTTCATTTATATCCCTACTAATTCTTTCCTTAATAATGGTTTCCACCAATTTATCCGGTATCGACGTCAGACTGACTGGCCTGTAATTTCCCGGATCTCCTCTGAAACCCTTTTTAAAGATGGGAGTGACATTAGCTACCTTCCAGTCCTCAGGAATGGAGGCAGATTTTAAGGAAAGATTATATATTTTTGTAAGGAGATTCACAAGTTCACATTTGAGTTCTTTCAGAACTCTCGGATGTATGCCATCTGGGCCTGGTGATTTATCAGTTTTTAAGTTGTCTATCAGTTTTAGGACCTCCTCTCTTGTCACCTCAATCTGACTCAGGTCTTTCAGGGGGTGTGGCATATGCAAATGAGTTATGCTAATGAGCTCCTGCACCTCTTTTTCTACGAAATGACCCCTGGCTGCACATATCCATCTTGGAGTTAACGTCAGCTAGAAAGATGCAGTTTACTCAGCTAGACTGTTTATCGTTTTATTCCTCCATGTAAGCCTCCCTAATACCTCACTAAACTTTCTTTTTAGCTAATTTACATGCTTGTGCTGCATTATTATTTTTATGTGCCGGCCCTACTGATACAGCAGATCTGGACAAAGGATTACAGAGCTGGGTGTCATCTGTTGATGGATCAGAACTGGCTGGCTCTGGAACAGCAAATAATTTCTGCCCATGAGCTTTGCATCAACATTAAACCATGTGGTAAACAGAACTGAGTCTTGTGGTAGGGCTGTCCACAGTCCTGAAGAAAAATATCATGTCCCTTTAATAGAGGATTCAAAGAGATTGAATTTATACCTTGCCCTTCACTGCCCGAATGAGTCTTTCGAGAACTCCTCTTGAGAACAGCCCAAGGTCACCCCAGCAGCTGCATATGGAGGAGTGGGGAATCAAACCCGGTTTGGTGTAGTGGTTAAGTGCGCGGACTCTAATCTGAGAGAACCGGGTTTGATTCCCCACTCCTCCACTTGCACCTGCTGATGTGACCTTGGGTCAGTTCACAAGCTCTGGCACAGCTGTCCTTGAAAAAGAGCAGTTTCTGTCAAGAGTTCTCTCAGCCCCACCCACCTCACAGGGTGCCTGTTGTGGGGAGGGGAAGGGAGAGGAGTTTGTAAGCCGCTCTGAGACTCCAAGTGAAGGGCGGGGAATAAATCCAATCTCTTCTCTTCTTCTTTTTCTCCCAGATTAGATTCTCCCAGATTAGAGTTTGCGCTCCTAATGATACAAAATTGTTCAGGGTGGTAAAAACCAGGGAGGATTGTGAGGCACTCCAAAGGGATCTGTTGAGGTTGGGCGAGTGGGCATCAACGTGGCAAATGGGGTTCAATGCGGCCAAGTGCAAGGTGATGCACATTGGAGCCAAAAATCCTAACTATAAATACACGTTGAAGGGGTCCGAACTGGCAGAGACTGACCAAGAGCCGTAGTAGATAACTCACTGAAATTGTCAAGACAATGTGCGACTGCCGTAAAAAAGGCCAATGCTATGCTGGGGATTATTAGGAAGGGAATTGAAAACAGATCAGCCAATATCATAATGCCCCTGTATAAATCAATAGTGCAACCTCATTTGGAATACTGTGTGCAGTTCTGGTCACCAACTGGTGGACCTCCTGATGGCACCTGGTATTTCTGGCCACTGTGTGACACAGAGTGTTGGACTGGATGGGCCTTTGGCCTGATCCAACATTGGTGTTTCTTATGTTCTTAGACACTACACCAAACTGGCTCTCTTAATAGAATGCTAATTCACCAGGTGATGTCATTTAACTCCATGCCATGCAGAGTTTAACTTACCCATTTCTATGCATTTAGCATCTCTTAAAGGGACAGGACTTACTTTTCCCAAGGTTGTGGGGCAGCCCTGTTCTTAAGAGACTAAAGCACATGTCTGAAGCAGTGATTATGGTAGAATGTTAATCTATTCTGGGGGAGACCCAAGTTCAAATTCCTGCCCAGCTGTGAAGCTGACTGGGTGACCTTGCTTGGACCAGTCTTTCTCTATTAACCTAACCTACCTCATAAGGTTGTTGTGATGATAAAACGGAGGAGAACTCTGAGTTCCCTGGAGGGAAAGCAGGATAAAATTATATTCAACTGTGACTGCTTGAGCTGTGTCAGAACTGCAGAGAAGGTGGAGGATGTCCAAGCCAGCATTACACACTTGGACTTCGGGGGGGGCAACTTCTCATGTTCTTAAAAGGCTGCATAGCACGCAACAACCAAAGACCAGTTATCTTTAAGAACATAAGAACCTGAGAGAAGCCAATGCTGGATCAGGCCAGTGGCCCAGCCAGTCCAATACTCTGTGTCACACAGTGGCCAAAACCCAAGGGCCATCAGGAGATCCAGAAGTGGGGCCAGGACACTAGAAGCCCTCCCACTGTTGCTCCCTCCCCAAGCTCTTTCTAGGAGAGGGAGCTGTACCTGTTGAGTTTCTGCCTGTCACACTGTCTTTGAAGACACCAATAGCACACTCACACTCCCCCTTTCTAAAACCCTACCTAGTTGGTTTTGTATCTTGAAGTATTGTACAAGACATCAAAGCCCTGCAATGAAGAGATCTTGTCGGGCCCAAACTACACATTGTAACATGTAGGAGGGCAGGGATTTCCCAGCCTTTCTGAGCCCACAGGTACCTTTCGGAATCTGAGTGCCGTGACAAAATGGCTGCTGCAGGAGGTGGAGCCAACCACAGAATGCCAATGATGATGAAGAAGAGATTGGATTTATACCCTGCCGTTTACTCGGGAGTCTCAGAGTGGCTTACAATCTCCTTTCCTTTCCCTTCCCTCCCCACAACAGACACCCTGTGAGGTCAGTGGGGCTGAGAGAGCTCTCTCTCGAGGACTGTTCTTGAGAGGACAGCTCCGAGAGAACTTGTGACTGGCCCAAGGTCACCCAGCTGGCTGCAGGTGGGGGAGTGGGGGAATCAAACCCGGTTCTCCCAGATTAGAGTCCGTGCTCCTAACCACTGCACCATACTGGCTCTCAAACTGGCAGAGCCAAGCACAGAATATCATGGAATGAACTTAGACATAACTCTCATAATGCATATTCAGTATTTCAGGCAGAAGATATGCCTTTGCATCTACACATCCAATCAGATTTCTAGTGGTCCATGAAGCCCACCTGGGCAAAAGCCCCACCTGGCCCCATCCCCTATCTCATAACACTTGAAGAGTACCAGGTAAGGTGTTGGCGGTTGCCGTGGAGATCAGGGGCAATGCTCCCTCTAAGCTGTGGAGTCTTGTGAGCAAAAATTCTCCTTGGTGAGCGACCGGCATTAAAGTTGTGAGGGAGCGATTTGGCTACTGCATGAATTAGTTTGCTCTGGAGCCGTCCCTTCCTGAGCTAAGACGAAAATGTGTGAGCCAGAGGCTAAAAAAACCTGAGAGCTAGCTCACACTAACTCAGCTTAGAGGGAACGCTGCTCACGGGCACCACGTTGGAGACCCCTGACACAGGGTCTGGTGTTTTCCCAACCTGACCTTGACTCTGAGAATCAATATCAGGAGCAGAGTGGGGAACTCATTTTCAAGTGTGTGTGTGTGTGTGCGCACGGGAC